GGTGAACCTTTGCTGAATGGATCGACCCACTGGCTCCAAAACTGGAACTGTACTGAATGAAGGTTTTGGTGGCTTTCGTAAGGTCAGCGGCTCTTCTGGGTTTTCGGAACCAGCTATAACAGTTAATGGGGAAGCTCTCTTGGCGATAAAATAACGCAAGAATTCTAGCAGATTCGCACAGCATTTTTCATTGTGAAAGAACATACATTCCTTAAAGGTAGCTCGAATACACTTCCTTTGCAGAAGTTAAAAGTTGGCCTACGAATTAGTGCTGCGACTGTCTTAGTCGGTAAACATTTTGCCTATAAAGCATATAGGCCTATATGCATATAAGTCACATTCTCGATGACGTGGATAACTTCTTCGAAGGGTTATCCTGCAAAACCAACGTGATGCTGAAATGATCCATACCGTTGTCATCGTCTCTAGAGCTCAGTATTCTGCGCAACCAGATGATCCAACCCGTTTCGTATTGGCAGAGGGTTACGGATCAGAACTGTTTTTACTTTAACCGAAAATGTTCTGAATGAGCCGAGACACATGCGTTTTAATTTCGAGAACAAAAAGTGCAAGGACTTTCTTTACGACTTACTTCAGGCCGTTCCCTCACAAAGTAGGGATAATGCTGAGCGATGATACCAAGGCAGCTGCTCGTGACTTTGGTAGCTGATGAGGTGCAATTCCAGGCCAACTGAATCTCTCCTAGGGGGGGGGGGGGAGAGTAATGCAAAATGATTCCGGCATGCGTGTTTTGAGTAAAATTTTCCTGGTCTCGTCCCAGAAATATTAGAAGAGAGGCTCTAATGCTAGGCTATTACATTGGCCATGATCCCGCTCGAACAGACCGCTTTTGTCTAGCTTAATACTTTGAGTGCGTGGTGAAGGTTGACAAAGCATTTGGTCCAGAGCACTACCAATGGAGGCATAAAAGGGGACTTGTAGAGCACGGTATAGGGTGACTCACCCGAATCTTGGACACAATAAGTGCTGAACTGAGGATGCAGTATGC